GGTCTGAATGTTAATGACCTTAACCTCAGATTTACCGCAGAAATTGGTACTCCCTCTTTAAGTTTTCTTGATCTTGTTGTATCCCCGGATCAACAAGGTATGATCAAAACTAACCTGTTTAGAAAAAGTACAGCCACAAATAGTCTGCTGAACTGGAAAAGTCATCATCTGACTCAACAGAAAAAGGGGATCCCCATTGGCCAATATTTACGTTTAAGACGTAATTGCTCGAATATAGAAGATTTCAAGATAAAAGCAAAAGAGTTACGTTTAATGTTTAGGTCCAAGGGATACCCAAATAGGTGTCTAAAGAGGGCATATCATAGGGCTCTCTTAACTAAACAGGAAAGTCTTCTCAGAGAAAACATGGCCCTCTCCTCAACCACAAAGGAAGCAGATTAGAAACAACTCAGATGCATTGCTACCTTTGATGCAGGCTGGGACCAGGTTAAGACAATCATGAATCGGTTTTGGCCCCTTCTAAAACAGGATGCACAATTGAAAGACGTCCTTCCGTCATATGCTTCTTTAACAGCTAGAAGAGGCAGCAACCTAAAAGACATGCTAGTGCATAGTCATTTCCAATCCAGTAAACCTCCAATACATTGGCTGTCAAATAAAATTAAAGGCACATATAGATGCGGAAGGTGCAAAGCCTGCAATTATATCAGTACAAGTTCAAAAAAATTCAGTAACAGCACCCATACAGAAAACTTCAAACCATTATCATTTTTTAACTGTAATTCAAAAGGGGTGATTTATTTAATTACCTGTCAGTGCCACCTTATGTATGTAGGTAAAACCTTTTGACCATTTAAGAAAAGAATTCTTGAACATATAAATTCGGTTAAAACAACTAGGAACATTGAAACTCCTGTTTCTAGACATGTCAAGATAGCCCATAAAGGGGACCCCAGTGTCCTCAAATTTTTGGGCATCGAACTAATTAAACCAGACCAAAGGAAAGGCAATTGGGATCAACGTCTGAGAAGACGAGAATGCTATTGGATTTACCGTCTAAAAACATTGTCCCCTAGGGGACTAAATGAAGGTTTTTCATATTCCCCATTTATTTAGGAAGTCTCTATACCTTTAAGAACGTATGTTAATATTTAGATTTCTATACCTTAGTCAGTTTAGATATTAGCCAACATTTTCTTTTTAACGCTTAGTCCAGTAACTTTGGTTCACTGGTTAATATTACACTTGGTGGATTGTTTAATTTAAGTTTCCTAACTCCCCCTCTCGTTCTCCTTTTTTGTTCTTTGCCAATCCTCTCTCCTTTTGTCCCTTTATCTGAATATTACTATAAAAAAGCATAACTATATTTATACCTTTAATACTTCAATTGGAAGATATCCTTATTGGGAGACATAGGCAATGCAATGATTTGACTGTCTGTGTCTTTAAATAATTTCAAGATAATTACTATTACAGAAAATTTTATCATGCTTACCGTAATTTTCTTTTCCTGGCTATTATTCATGGCAGCATCACTTATGGGTAGCTCCGCCCTAATCAGGAACAGGACAGGATAAAATCAATTAATACGGACCAGACTGGGTATAAAAGGTCCCTCCTCCTTCTAACCCACAGTCTAGTTCCAAAGCTAACTCTGATAACAAGGGGGGGTTGCTGATGCTGCCATGAATAATAGCCAGGAAAAGAAAATTACAGTAAGCATGATAAAATTTTCTGTATTCCTGGCTAATCATGGCAGCATCACTTATGGGTAATACCCAAGCTTCACCATAGGGTGGGAATTTCCAAAAAAAACCAAAAACCTCCAAACCAGATAATGCTGAAAAAGTTTAATTTAGATAGATTCCACAGAGGACAGAACACCTCTACCAAAAGCCGTAGAGGAAGATGCCAAATCCAGTTTGTAGTGTTTGATGAAAGTGAGAGGAGAAGACCATGTAGCTGCCTTACAGATGTCGTCAGATGGAACTTCTGCCCAATTAGCCCATGATGTTGCTAAAGCCCTTGTAGAGTGTGACTTGATCCTACTAGGAGGAACAAGGTCTTTCAACTGATAAGCCTTGATTATGGTATTGGAGATCCAACGTCTCAAGGTGGAAGTAGAGGCTGCCTCCCCTCTTCTGGGACCAATCGGAAGAACAAACAGCTGTTGAGACTTCCGAAATTGAGTAGAAACCTCTATATACTTAAGCAGGCACTGCCTGACATCCAATTGGTGAAGTTTCACTTCCTCTGGAGTAGAAGGAGATGGATAAAAGGAAGGAATAACAATTTCCTGTAGGATGTGGAAATTCGAGATAACTTTCGGCAGAAACTCTTGTCTGGGTCTCAAGATCACCCTGTCGTGGAATACCTGAAAGTGATTTTCATCACAGGAAAATGCATGAATTTCCGACATGCGTTTTGCAGTAGTAACAGCCACCAAAAACAAGGTCTTATATGTTAATAAGACGATACCCAGCTCATCTAATGGAGCAAAGGGGTTTTCAGACAATACCTCTAGAACCATAGGTAAATTCCACGGAGGAGTGTAGTTCCTATTTGGAGGTCTTATACGGATGGTTGCTTTAAAGAATCTAGCAATTAGAGGATCCGAAGCCCAAGACTTGTTGCAGAGAGCAGATAAAGCCGATGATTGGACTTTTAGAGTACTAAGACTCAGCCCTTTCTCCAGACCTGTATGAAGAAATTGTAGAATGTTGATGTTAGATGGCTGAAGAAAATCCACATTATTGTCTTGAGACCAGGAACGAAAAACTTCCCAAATCCTATGATAGCAGGAAGAAGTTGATACTTTTCTGGATTTAAGGAGAGTAGTTACCACATCTTCTGGGATCCCTTGAGCTAGTAGTCTCTCCTTTTCAAGAGCCATGCCCCCAATTTCAGCTGGCTGGGGTTGGGATGAACAGCTGGTCCCTGGATTAAGATGTTTGGTCTGAGAGGAATAGGCCAAGGAGGTTCTAGGCTCATCTTGTTCAGCAGGGGAAACCAAGGTCTGCGAGGCCAGATTGGGATGATGGCGATGACTTTGAGACCTTCCTTCCATATTTTTCTCAGCAGTCGATAAATCATTGGTAGGGGAGGGAACGCGTACCCCAGATCGAATTCCCATGGAAGAGACAGGGCATCCTGTCCTTCTGCTCGATGATCCGCATGTAGGGAGTAAAACCTCTTCACCTGAGTGTTGTTGTACGAAGCCATCAGGTCGATCTGGGGTACTCCCCACCGCAGGGTGATCAAGTGAAATAATTCTGGGTGCAGTTTCCATTCTCCTTGTAGAATCCTTGTTCTGCTGAGATAATCCGCCAATAAATTCTCTGGTCCCGGAAGATAAATCGCTTTTAATCCTTGTAAATGAAGTTGCGCAAACCTCATTATTGGGGACAATTCCATTAGTAGAGAATAGCTTTGAGTGCCTCCCTGATGATTTATGTAGGAAGCCACTGCTCTGTTGTCTGTATGTATCTTCACCCAGGCATCCCTCAATAGAGGACGGAAACCTATTAATGCCTTGAGAACCGCTCTCATTTCTCTCAGATTCGAATGAAGTTTTGACTCCTTCCATGACCAAGTTCCTTGAATCCAAGAGTTGTTCAGGTGTGCTCCCCATCCCAGGAGGCTGGCATCTGTAGTTATAGTTATCCAAACCGGCTCTTCCAGGGGAAAACCGCAAAGGAGGTTTTTTTCTTTTGTCCACCAATACAGCTCTTTCGAAATTCTCGGGAGAAAACGAATCTTCTGATCCCAATTTCCGGGTTTTGCTTTGAACTGTAAGAGAAAATGCCTCTGAATGGGTCGCATCCTCCACTGGGCCCATTTCACTAGGCCTATTGTGGAAGTAAGAGACCCTAACAGGCTCATGAAATCTCTTGCTGTGATGTAGGATTTTTGACGCAGACTTTTGATCTTCTTCACTATTCGTTCTTTTCTGTCTGAAGACAGTGATACCAGGCCCTTCACCGAGTCTATATTTGCTCCTAGGAAAATCATCCTCTGAGAAGGCATTTGATGGTTATTGACGTGTGGACATTTACTCTCTGACTGGAAGGACCTACGATCAGAAAATCGTCCAGATAATGAAAAAGCTCGATTTTCTTCATCCTTATAAAGGCCACCAGCGAAACAAGAATTTTCGTGAATGTTCTGGGCGCCAGACTTAAGCCGAAAGGAAGTCCCTTGAACTGATAGTGATCCCCCGAGATCCAAAACCTCAGAAACCGGCGATGACTGACGTGAATAGGTATCTGATAGTAGGCATCTTTGAGATCGATAGAAGTCATCCAGGTCCCCGTCTTTATATTGGGCAGAATTGAGGAAATGGACTCCATTTTGAACGTTCTTGGAACCAGATATGTATTCAGAACTTTTAGGTCCAGAATTAGACGCCATTTCCCCTGAGGTTTTGGGGCCAAAAATATCGTAGAGTAGTGGCCTCTGTAATGTTCTCTGTAAGGGACTTTCTCTATGACCTGATTTTGTAGAAGTTGAGAAATAATGTTGTTCAGAGCAACTTCTTTTCTTCCTCTTGCCACTCTTGAACGGATAAAGGAGGTTTGAGAAGGGAATTCTTTGAATTCTATTTTGTATCCTTCCCTGAGGATAGAAAGAACCCAAGAATCTTGAATACTTTTGGCCCAAACTGGATAAAAGAAGCGAAGTCTGCCTCCTATAACATCTGGCTGGGCCAGCAAACGTTCAGAAGTTCTTATTAGCTGGTCTAGATCCTCTTCCTCTAACCGGTTTTGATGAAGAGGACTGATAGTTTCTCCAATTAGAATTCCTGGAGTATTCTCTTCCGGGTCTATATGCCCTGACATCTCGAAAGGATCGGTCTCTGAACTTCTTATCCTTCCAGTAGGAAGCACTAAATCTTCTCTTCCCTTGGGGAAGAAAAGCTTTTCTCCCATCTGCTGCTTTATGGATCGCTTCTTCCAGGACTTTACCAAACAGAAGGTCCCCTTGAAAAGGAAGCGCACATAGAGAGGCCTTAGAGGCATAATCTGCACCCCAAGAGTGAAGCCATAATGCTCTCCTAGAAGCAACTGACAGCGCCATACTTTTAGCTACCATTTTCGTAATATCCAGGGAAGCTTCAGAACAGAATTCTGTGGCCAGTTTTAAATCTTTAAGGCCCTCCATCAGGTGTTCTCTACGGACTCCACTAGCAATATCCTCTTCTAGATTGTCAACCCATATTTTAAGAGCTCTGGACAAGGTGGTGAGAGCGATGGCTGGATGTAATGCCGATCCCAGGGCTAGGTATGCCTTAATCAGGTCAGCGTCCAATCGCTTTTCCATTGGCTCCCTTAAATATGCCATTGAATCTATGGGAAGAGTTGTTCTTTTCGCCATGTGAATTACTGCTGCATCAATTTTCGGAATCGAAATCCATGATTTGCAGTCTTCAGGTGCATACGGGTATAATCTGGGGACTTTGCTCTTTAGAGTCACCTTCCTTTCAGGTCTATTCCATTCTGCACCTATTACCTCCTTGATGGCTGAATGAACTGGAAAGGTGGGTCTGTTAGGCTTTAGATCTTCAAAGTATCTGTCAGACTCCTTCTTCTCCCTGCTTTCTTCAGGAATTCTTAACGTGTCTCTGATAAGATAAACCAACTTATCTACAGACCTGGAGTCCAGAGATTTTGAGTCACACTCATCCTCTTCTTCCTCTGAATAGTCTTCCATCATATCAGATTCCTCTTCTGGTTCTACAAAGCTTTCCACTCTGGGACGCTTGGGGATAGCCATCTTACTAGAGGATTTAAACCCTTCAGCTATAGCTTCTGAAATCCATTTCTTTAAGTCAGCTTGTGGGGAACTTTTCTCACCCCAGTCTTTTGCTGCTTCCGTCAGGCAAGATCTGCACAAATTATTTCCCGGAGGAGCCACTTGGTTGCAGTTTGCACATCTGTTGGATTTTTCTCTATATTTTCTGGGCTGAGATTTTTCTGGGCTGAAATAAAAGGCCAATATACTTTATATTATAGGCCTGTAATGGCACTCTTTTCCCCCCTTAACCAAATAGAGTATATGCGGCTCACCTATGTCTTCTAGAGCGAGATCTTGAGGCAGAGGGAGAAGCCATCTGGAATAATAATATGCTTATTGTAGAAGAAAAAAAATAAAAAAAAAATTTTAAGCAGCAAGAAAAAATTAATAATACAAATAAAATAGGATTTTTTACCTTTTAACCAGATTCTGAAAGAAAAGGGCAGCTTTCCTTATCATCAGAAGATCTTAGGAGAAGTCAGGATCAATTTCGAGTGATTTTTAAAATTTTCATTTTTTGGCGCGATATGCCTTTAAGCGCGCAACTATTCCGCGCATGCGCAGAACACTCGCCGGACGCCGTCGGAACTGCGCATGCGCCGGACAGCCGAACAGAGAAGAGACAGACCGGAATGAAGTTCCTGCACCATGCTGCACAGAAGAGTAAGATTGAAAGGAAAACTGATGCAGGTAAGCCAGAGGAAGTTCTCTAAACTGTATTCCACAAAGAAATAGTAGGAAACTGAGAGTATAACCCCCAGCAATCTCTAAACCCAAAAGAAAAGAAAAACTACCACATAAAGACTTACCCTAGCTTCTCCCCAGTACTGACCTCAGATCAGGGGGGGGGGGTTAGATGCCATAAGGGGAATTTTTAAGGCAACAGCCGACCCCACATCAAAATGGATTGAACTTTTCTCCCATAATAGTACAGATGCTAATCTGTACTAAACTCAGTTAGTCCTGCCCGTGCAGGCTGTTTACTGAGTTCTTCAGATGAAGAGAGGCTGAACTTCATCTGGAGGCCCATGGTACACATGGGAAGGTGGCCCAAAATAAAATATCCTGTGTGTCCTGAAAGGACAGGAAAAAAAAGACTGTGGGTTAGAAGGAGGAGGGACCTTTTATACCCAGTCTGGTCCGTATTAATTGATTTTATCCTGTCCTGTTCCTGATTAGGGCGGAGCTACCCATAAGTGATGCTGCCATGATTAGCCAGGAAATATAATTACAGTGATTGGTGAAATCATAGAAAAGCATAACTATATCTATATCTCTAATACAATAATTGGAAGATATCCTTATTTGGAGATATGGGCAATGTATTGATTTGACTGTCTACACTTTTAAATAATTTCAAGATAATTACTGTATATAATTATAGCGATCGGCGAAATTCTCATAAACTATTTGGAGGCATGTATATATATCAATTTGGAGAACAACAGTCAGAAAGGCCACTGAGCATTGTTAATAATGTTTATAAGTTGATTTTCAAACATACAAAAATCGTAGGAATGTTCACTGTTTGGGTTAAGAGGGAGTGTACTGCTTGTCAATTATTCTGACGTTGCAGTCTCATATCCCGCCCATAGTAACCCCACGTGGCTGCTAAGTGACACGTCATCAATGACGACATTCAATTTAACCCTTCGGATTGGTCAATTTATATTTAAATATCGGGGGAGTTCGGGCGGCAACTTTCAGCCCCTGACGAAGGAGTCTTGTACTCTGAAACGCGCGTCGGGTTTTTTTCTTTAGGATTTCCCTCCACTCACTCGAGCACCTCACTATGCACGAGGGAATCCTTTATAGACTTTCACTTTTGTTCTTTTCGTTAATTTAATGCTAACTTTTTATGGAGCTTTGTTAGTGTAGTGGAATTAGTGTAAGGGGACAGTACTTAGTTAGCAACCTACTATAGAACACCCACGAAGGTGTTATGAGGAGATAGAGGATTAGAATAGTGGCGCTTATTTTCTGAGGGGATTCTCTCCAATTACATTACCTCAATCACTGCCTATATCGTTATCTATTCCTCATATATCTCTCTCTATACAGTTGTTAAGCTACTCATTTACAGAGATTTCGTTTTCATATTTATTTTTATTTTACGCTATACTGTCTCCTCCACTACCCTGCACACCTACCCATAATAAGATTTCAAGGTACTACATATATTTCGTTTTCTTTGTGGGTCATTCCATGTGATATATCTCACTTTCTTAACATTTAGTATGCTTCAATTGAGAATTGGTTACTTAGTTTGATCCACATAGGATTTGAGGGTTATAAGCTCTTTGGAGACACTGTTACATTGTATCCTCTCTACAGTATAGTTAATAAAGTTGCAGTGTGTCACTGCTTTTGTCAGGATACATGTTTATTCAGTGCCTCTTATATTAAATATATGCTTTCCCTGTAGTTATTACCTTCTTTCTGACAATTTATAGGTAGTTTCTTGTATCATTTGGCGTTCCTTTTTACTATCATTACCAGACTAATTGGGAGTTCCCCTTTTTCTTTAGGGGAGCTATCCGATTATTGTGTTCACGCTCTTTTTAGACTAATTTTCAAACAGTCCTGTTGAGTACCGTGCAACCCTGGATGGTCCAGATGGATGGAGTAGTGGATGGTTGGTGGACGGCCACCCTGTTCCAACAAGGCTGCGACCTCAGCAAGGTGGTGGTGGAGTCATGTTTTGGGCTGGAATCATGGGAAGACAGCTGGCCGGCCCCTTTAGGGTCCCCGAAGGTGTAAAGATGACCTCTGCAAAGTATGTGGAGTTTCTGACTGACCACTTTCTTCCCTGGTACAGAAGGAAGAACTATGCTTTCCATAATTAAATCATCTTCATGCATGACAATGCACCATCTCATGCTGCAAAGAATACCTCTGCATCATTGGCTGCTATGGAGATAAAAGGAAAGAAAGTCATGGTGTGGCCTCCATCCTCCCCTGACCTCAATCATATTGAGAACCTTTGGAGCATCCTCAAGCAAAAGATCTATGAGGGTTGGAGGCAGTTTACATCCAAACAGCAGCTCTGGGAGGCTATTCTGACATCTTGCAAACAAATTCAAGTAGAAACTATCCAAAAACTCACAGGTTCAATGAATGCAAGACTTGAAGCTGCTATCAAATAAGGGGTCCTATGTTAAAATGTAACATGACCTGTTAAAATGTTTAAAAAGTTGAAATGTTGTTATAAGTTTGATTGAAATAGTTTTTGATTTCAGTAAATATGCTGCAAACACAACAAATGACAATTTTCAGTTCTTTACAACCTATAAAGTGTTTTGAAACTTACTGTGCGTAATAATTTGGAACAGTGCATTGTAAGTTTTTTATGTTTAAAAAAAACACTGTTATCATTAGGAGGTTTGTTCAATAAAATTTGAATTGTACTCTTAATAGTTGATAACATGAGAATTATGCTGACTGTTATTTACATCAATTATTTAGGTAAATGAGAAAAATATAATTTGCATAATAATTTGGAACAGGGTGTGTGTATGTATATATATATATATATATATTTATATATATATATATATATATATACAGATCAGCTACAAAATTAAAATCACCTGCCTAATATCATGTAAGTCTCACTTGTGCTGCCAAAACAGATCTGATGCGTCGAGGCATGGACTTCACAAGACGTCTGAATGTGTCCTGTGGTATCTGGAGATCTGGAGAATTTGGAGGCAAAGGTAACATCCTGAACTCCTTGTTATGTTCCTCAAAGCAGTCTTGAACAATTTTTGCTACTGAAAGAAGCCAATGCGAGCAGAAAACACAATTGCTATGAAGGGGTGTACATGGTGTGCAACAATCTCTAGGAAGGATTGCAACCGCAAGAATGCCAAGACCCAGCAGAACATTGCCCAGAGCATAACACTGGCTCTGCTGGCCTGCCTGTAACAAACTCCCCTCTCCAAGTGAGTTTGCCACGAGCTCCTTGAGGAGCCTGCTTGCCAGCCTCCTGCCCACGTACTATGGGCCCTGCAGAGAAACCTGTAAAAGACTACCAAACTTGACCGACTGTTAGCACTGATTTCCCTGGAACTGTTTTGGGCATAGGACCATGTGCACGGTCGGTCAAAACTATGACTTCCAGGAAATTCCTGAACCCCTGCTCTGATCTGGGTGATTTTTGGATATCAGGGGATGTGACCTTTATGGGGATATGTTGTGTTTTGCGGTACTTTTGGGACTTTTTAGAATTGTGTGTTTTTTCTGCCTGGAGATAATTGAGTCGATACAGTAATTAACTCAATTATCTCCCAAGCAGAGCGGAGGGATTGTTTGCCTTGTGTGGGAGTGGTAAGGCAAATTGTAAATGTGTTGTTATTGGTTTGGAAGTTTGTGTCCCTGTGCCCAACAAAGTCCACTTGGGTGTCACCCTTGTTGGGAAACTTGCATAGAAGGCCAGTGTGCCTCCATTAAAATCCTATTCCAGCTTACACTCCAAAACTGTGTGTCGTCCTGTTATTGGAGGGAAAGAAGATTTACTCCTGTGTCTGCTGTTCCAACTTGCAGGAGATTGAATGGGGAAAGTCCTTGTAAGGACTAGAGGTAATTCCCC